GTGGAGAATCGTACTTGTTTTCTTTTCAATTCTCGTTCATGAATTTAACGTTTGAATATAGATGTGATTTTTTAAAAATATAGATAAAAAGTTAGCCATAAAATAAGAAGATCTCAATTTTCTAAAACTATATATTTTTTTTCATTTTTATTTTTGAAATTGTATTTTACAAAATAGTTATAATTATAATAAATGTTCGAAAAAGATGACTAGAAATCAAACCTACTTTTATAAAAGTCGAAACGAAAACCAAATTATTATCGAACAAAACGTAGATCGTTCTCTAGAACTCTACGATAGAGTCAACAATTTGTAGAGGGGGGAAAAGCAAAGCATAATATTGGGTTAGGTGAAGATAAGAATAAGAAACAAGAAGGGTTGAGGAATATGGAAGAGAAGACCTAAATGAAAAGGAGAAGTAGAATAGGTGGTTTAGGGTTAGTACATAGTCCTCCATTCCCATCCTTCAAATTTTACCCTCCCAAAACCACTTTTTACCTTTTAATTTACTTTTTTTTTTTACCCCTTATTTACCCTTCTCCCTCAAAACCTCTATTTGTTGGTTGACATTTTTTTAGCTTGGTCAAACTCGACTAATCTTACTTCTTTGATTACTATGAAGATTGTTTATATTAATGATATGGTATGACTTATGAAATTTGATATTTGAGTTTTATAAGATTTTGGTTACTTATGTAATATGTATTATGAATAAGTATAATTTTTTAAATAATAATAAAAAAAGGAAAATAACCCGACAACCAGAATTTAGTTTGTTTTTTTTAATGTGAAGTTATGATCGGATCTTTTTAACAACCGTCCCAAATTCTGAAAACTAGATTTTATAAGATTATGACTTAAATCCGTACTAGTTGGTTGGCTAATCAATTTCAACGAAAAACCAAGTTTTATCCTTCATTATATATATATATATATATATATATATATATGAAAACGGTGGAGGAAGACACAATGGCCAAGGAAGGAAAAATCGAGTCATTGAAATGCAAGATATAGTGTTTAGACGAGTCGTTGGCGAATGTAGGTGAGAGCGAGAGATGATGTCGACGATAATGGAAATCAACTAATTGAAGAACTTTACCTTTTAATTTCCATCACATATATGATGCAATATTCTTCGGTTATGTGACATTTTATGTCAATAATAATACGTAAGAAGTGTTTTTATGAAACGAATAGGGTTGTCGACCACATAAATTAGTTGAAGAATATCACCAGCCAATGTATTTATAGATATGATTCCGACAAAATTAGATTTTTATAATTGTATATATTTAAATTATATCGTTAAGCATTTGAATTAAAATGTAACGCTTCAAATTCTATGTGTATCCCAATACTCTCCTTCATCCTCTGTAATATTATTTAATTTATACGGGTAAAAAAATTATCTTTAAATAAATAGTTTTTTTTTATGAAATAAAATTAACTATTTAAATAAATATTCTTTTGAATAATTAGCTATCTAATTGAAAATTAATGGATATTTCCCATAAAAAAATCATCCATTTGAAAATTATCAAAAAATTATTTGGTTAAATTGAAATTAAAAAAAAAAAAAACAAACCGTAAATGATTCCTCGTAGAAAATTCACCTCCCGTAAATTTTAAAAGAAAAAAATCATTCTCGAGTCGTCGCAAAATTTAACAAAAAGTTTCACAAAAATGAGAATTAAAATAGGAGGCAGAGACGAGGACGAGAAAGTCATCTCTATCTCTATCTATTCGATAGACATCCCGATATAAATATTTATCTTAAATAGTATTCAAATAAAAACGAAAGTAATTTAGAGGTACAAATTTATAAACACAAAATAATAACCACTTATTTGATTAAGAAAAAGTGACATTAATCACGTCTTAAATGAAAATTCAATAATATAAACTTTAGGTAAATATTCCTAAAATATATATTTATTTTTTTAAAATGACACATTAAAATTAATTATAATATTTTTAAAAAAATTAAAAAAAAAATAACCCACAAGAAGGCTTTAATTATTTAAAACAAGCATGGTTATGAAATAATTATTAGGTAATAAAAATGTGCCCATTCCCCAACAAGTAACCCAAAAAAGAAGGGGAAAAAAATAATAAAAGGGAAAAAGAGGGGTAAAAATAAGAAAAAGGAGAAAATGAAAGGACTAACTTGAAAAATGTGTAAGAACCTTTTGGGGTGGCTTGTAGGTCATAGGGGCCTATGGTTGGAGGGGTTAGGGTTCCATTAAAGAGGGTAGGTGGTCCATCCCTCTATGGCTTATAGGTGTCTCTTTAGGTAACATTTGGATGAATCTAGGGTTTCCCCATATTTCACTTTGGAATAATTTCTTTTTTATTTTATTATTTTAATTTCTTTAATTACACGTCACATTTCTAAATATTTTATTTAGACCGTTAAATTATTGATCATAGCTCAATAGCTCAACCGTAATTGATATATACTCGTTTAAATAATAATAAAAATAAATAAAATAAAATAAGATGATTACATTTGATGTAAGTGGTAGGCAAAATGAATCGTCCTCTATTATTATATTATTTTTATTTTACCTTACAAGAAAATAAAATAAAGGGTATTGATTTGATTGGACATTCCTCCAAATAATAATACTTAATAATTAAACTTCATTTAATTAAATTAGTGAAAAATAAAAAGTAAATCCAATAACTGTTCGTAATATGAATTGAAGATTGACCCTAAAGATGTAGGGTTAAATAAAGCTTAAAAGTTGAAGGGTTCATATGACTCGAGAACCCAATCAACCCAAACTCACTGATCCAAACCATAAAAGTTTGCGTAAGGTCAAGCTAACCAATATGAAAACAGGGACACTCGGGTTCGGTTGGATTGGGTTCTAAATCCTAATATATAATTTTAAATATTTTGTTAAAAAAAGGGTGAATTGTCTCTCCTTTTCAAATCTAAAAACAACCTTGTCACTGCAGAGTTTGAAGAATTATTCATTCCACTTCATCTTCTTCCTGTTTTTTCCCTCCTCTGTTACTGTGAATTCAGAGAAATCCCCCGCCATGAACACACCAACATCATTCCATTTGCTTTCCTCTTAACAAATTTATTCATCGTTTAAGTACTGTTCTTCCCAAATCTGAAACGCCCTCTTCAGTTTGTTCCAATCAATCATCTTCTTCACTCTGTTTTTCAATGTTGGGTCTCAGAGATGTTCTGTTTTTAGCTCCGACGTCTACTTCCGATCATCATCCTTCTCTTCCTCTCCACTCCCCTGCCGCTCTCGGTGTCAGCGTTGGCATTTTTCCACTTTTAGCGGCAACCCCATCTCTCCCGCCTCCTCCTCCTCCTCCGCCGCCTAATCGGACGGCCGAGGAAGTTAGTGATCGTACTCGGAGTTCGGAGAATCTGAAGAGAACCCATGATTTTGGGTTTGGGAAAGGGGATTCGTTTATTGCCGGCGACAAAGGAGACGCCGGCGAGAGCTCCATGGCGGTTTGTAGGGACTGTGGAAACAGAGCAAAAAAAGAGTGCGAGTATCGGAGGTGCAGGACTTGTTGTAAAGGACGTGGGAATCATTGCTCTACTCATGTGAAGAGTACGTGGGTTCCGGCGTCTCGCCGCCGTGAACGTCAGATGTTGGTGGTGATGGACGGCGTCGCCACTGCTAGTGGCGACGGTGGTTCTTCTGGTTCTTCGTCTGCTGGTGCTAAAAGACCCAGAGTTTTGATTCCTTCGCAGAGTACTCCTCCCGCCGCCGCCTCTCACGCTTCTGCCTCCATTGCCACCACCTCCCGGAGCTTTGAAACAACCTCCAACCATCAAGGTGGTTCTCTCTGTTTCTCTCTGTTTTCCTCTGTTTCTCTCTGTTTCTCTCTGATTCTCTCTGTTTCTCTGTGTGTAATGATTTGTTTATCTGTTCTTGAGAAAACCCAACAATCTTTTCATATTTCACACTGTTTTCCTCATGATCTTGAATTCAGTAGATTCAAATTGTTGTTCTTCAAATCTTCTCTGTTTCTTGGAACTCTGATAGCTTATGACAACAGATGCAAGCTTCAAGAAGTCGTTACCGGGGCAAGTTCGTACCCCGGCGGTGTTCCGGTACCATAGAGTGACAGCCATTAGCAGTGGTGAAGGAGAGTTAGCATACCAAGCAACAGTCAACATTGGTGGCCATGTCTTCAAAGGCTTTCTGTATGATCAAGGAGTTGTTGATCACAAAAATGGATACCCATCTCTTTCACATCTTCATTTGGAAAGTGGTAGCCATCACAGGGAATAGAGACATTCCTCCTCTTCTTTCTTCCTAAACTCTTCGTCCTAACGATTACCCGAAACCTCGGTCTCACCTCGGGTCTTGGCTCTCGGCTCGGAACCTTGAAAGATATCATATCTCTACTAGGATGAAGCAAGCTAGCTTGTCCACATCTCTTGTTTGATTGTCTATCTAAGAAATGCTCGTAACCGTCGAGTATCTACTTGTGAATGCTATCTTTTAGCTACATATGGATCTTTTCTAATTATGATTGAGACCGTGTTCATCGTGAATATGTAGTAGGAAGCTATATAAATGAAGTTGAAGCCAACACGAGAAGGCGAACAAAATCCATAGCTCACTATCACACCCTAGTCTTTTCAAGTATTATTGGCCCCTCATTGTACAAAGTGTAGGAAACAACTCCGACTACATATCATAGCAAATAGCAAAGAAACGTGACTAAACGGTACGCAAAAAAGATGTTCGAGAACCCAAGGCTCATCACTAATCCAGATAAACATGGGTTTAAGCTATAAAGATGATATTTAGTATCTTATATCCAAAACGTCCTAAGATTAAGTTAGTCTACTGCTTGTTTCTATAAGAACGAAACATTCTCTATAAGGGTGTGGAAACTCTTCCTAATAGACACGTTTTAAAAATTTTAAGGGCAAACCCAGACGAGAAAACTAAAAGAGGACAATATCGGGTACTGGTGGACTTAAGAGCGTAGGTTATACGAAAGCAACGGAAAAGAACAATGGAAATCAAGTTATTTGGGGCTTCAACCATTGTGTTAAGAGATACATTTACAAATTAGTAAGAGTTGGGTGAACAACTCTCATCTATAACTTTTCTAAATCATATCACAATTTTCTAACTTAGAAGGAAGAATACAATGCATAATTGCCAAAGCTCTACATGGTTACTTTACTTTATACACCAAATGGTTACCTGTTTCTTTTCTTTACGTCTTCTTCTCGTGGCCGAATGCTACGACTATCAAAAACCGATATCATTTCTCACAACGGACCGACTGTACAACGATGGCCACTGGTGCAAGTTTTGATGAATTGGGTTGGTCAGTATAACTTCTTCAAGTGTCTTCTACAAAAATTCTGAAGATGAAATCTCGAAACCGTTTTGAATATTGCTTTGGATCGACAGCAGATATCGATGATGGATCGTATTGAAACGATTTATAAGCATGTTCGAGTTTCTTACTGATGTCATAGTGTTGTAGTATGTCGATTATACCGATGAAAATGATCACGTCGTATAACTCCCCAGTTGGTTCTCCTACTAGCTGAGCTTCGGGTTCTCCTTGTCTCACCGTCCGTTCTGCCCGTGCTGGCAAATTGATGCCTAATCTAATGGAAGCCCACCTGAATAAGTAAATGATTGAAGTAATTTGGTAATGATGTTGAACAAGAAAGCATCTATTTCAGAAAGCTAATAAACTATAGCATGGAAGAAATCAGGCATTAGCTAGCATGGTGCATCAGCAAAATATTTGAAAACAAGCACGAATGGTCAAGTTTCTCGCTATACTACAACGGTATCGTGAGAAGATTTTTGCAGGATTTCTATGAGATCCAATATCGGTTGGAGAGGAGAATGAAATACCGTTTATAAGGGTGTGGAAACCTCTCCCTAACAAATGCGTTTTAAAAACCTTGAAAGAAAACCCAAAAGGGAAAACTCAAAGAGGAAATATTTGCTAGTGGTGGGCTTGAGCCGTTACAAATGGTATCAGAGTTAGACATCGGGCAATGTGGTAGCGAGGAGAGGCTAAGCCCTGAAGGGGGTGGACATGAGATGATGTGCCAGTAAGAACGCTAAACTTCAAAGGGAGGTGGATTGTGAGATCCCACATCGATTGGGGAGGAGAACGAAACACCCTTTATAAGGGTGTGGAAACCTCTCCCTAGCAAACGCATTTTAAAAATCTTGAGAGGAAGCCCAAAAGGAAAAATACAAAGAGGACAATATCTGCTAGCAGTGGGATTGGGTCGTTACAAATGGTATTAAAGCCAGAATCGAACAATGTGCCAACGAGGAGGCTAAAGCCCCAAAGGGGGGTGGATTTGGTGGGGGTCCCACATTGATTGGAGAAAAGAACGAGTGCCAACGAGAACGCTGGGCCTCGAAGAGGGGTGGATTGTGAGATCCCACATCAGTTGAGGAGGAGAACGAAACACCCTTTATAAGGGTATGGAAACCTCTCCCTAGCATACGTGTTTTAAAGACCTTGAGGGGAAGCTCAAAAGGGAAAACCCAAAGAGGACATTATCGACCAGTGGTAGGCTTGAGCTATTACAATATCAGTAACTTAATATCAATAACTCAAGTTCATTCTACCTGCCCGAGTCTTGTTCCGTGAATTGACCGTCTGCTTCATAGTCGGGATCTCTACTTCCTGAAAGATACATTTTCGAATATCAGATTACTTGCTGAAACTACGATTTGGAACGGAAACTTAACCGATGAGCAGATACCTGAATCTTGGCTATCGAGCCTGTTCGGTTCCCGATCCGAAGTTTCTTGGAAGTGAAGACCAACTAATAGACTATAGTCCATGATCCTCTCCTGTTCAAGAAAGTCACAGTCCTTGTCTACTTGCCTGGACACAAATGCTTTGTCATGAACAGCAATGATTTGCAAACAAAACTGATAAGGAAAAATGTTAAAAAGTTCATACCTACAAAAATCTTGAAACCAAATCTTCTGCAATCGGAATATATAATTAAGATCGAGATCTTTAAGCGTAGTCGTTCCGTCGATTTCGGCCTCCGGTTTATCAGTTATCCGACCATGTGAAGAACCTTTCAAGTCGAAACGTCGGTGGATAGTGTACTCGGAACAAAACAGGTTTCCCATTATCACGAATCGAACCTATAAATCAAGAACATCTATGAATTTAAGGATCTATATCAACCATTGTAATGCTTTACTATCCTTTAATACCTTCTTTTGTGAAGTACCCGTCAATCTAACACAATGAAGACCGTAAAATTTAGTGACGAGAGTATTTTCGAACGATCGAACGTGTTTATAGTAGGCAGGAAGCATCCTCAAGAGAACCTGCACGTTGTCGTGGCGTGTTAAGATTGGAATAAATTCAACTCGTAGAAACATATACAACAGCTGAGAGACATGACAGGACTAACTTTCACTTCAGCCTTCTTCATCGTTTTAATCATGTATCTATCGTCGTAGGTTAAATAAAAGAAACTCCCGCTTTTTCCGGGGGACGAGAGTTCCCGAAGGGCATCGTTTCCACATATAGATAGCATATAATCAGCTGGATCGACCTTGAACAGTTTCCTAAGAGTCCTGAAATTATAAATTGGATAAGATGACTGAAAACTTCGAACCGAACAAGAAATATGCCGATCGTTACGTTTAGCACTGACCTGAAGACAACAGGACAGTAATCCTTCCATTTGAAATCAGAAGATTGATGAGGTGGTGTATACTTGGAACCTTCTGGTGGAAACTTCGTCCAGATTTTCTCCTTCGGATCGAAAACCGACGACTTTAGATCAAGCGTTGTCGTTGGAGCTGGCCTCCCAACAGAATGCCTGCGCTATGGAACAAAAAGATCACTAAGTTGGCTAACAGATACTCATTCATTTCATACAACATTCGAACACGAAGTAGCATCGCGATAGACATAGCTGAATCATTTATATATACCTAATCCCGAGTTGCAGATTCAACATGAGTTCATAATTCTTATGTCCTTTCGATATCGTAACACCCTGTCTATTAGCAGGCTGAAATCTCAAATTCGATTGTCGTTTCCCTTTCCGTTCGAAATCATGTCGTTGATGATGATGACGACTCCCAATTCCTTTCCTATTTCTCGAACTCCCTTCATTCGTCGATCCATCATTCATCGAATCAAAACTAGAATTCGAAACTTTCCCATCAACAGATAATCTTTTCAATCTCCTATTCCCATCAATCCCTTTCCTAGATACCATCAACTTCTGCGGCGACGAACCGATATCAATCCCCGACCATGTTATCATCTTCTGAGACGGATAAATCAATATCCTCTCCCCATTACAAACCACACAATCATTCAAATACTCAACCAACATCCCCTGAGGATCAGATGCCATTTCTTCATCCTTTGATGAACCACAAGGATAAAATGTTCCACTCCGTTCATCACATTCTTTACTCCAAACACCAACATAACAACTCCCATCACTCCATCTAAACGTTCCATTCCCTTTAGGTAACCCATCTTCCCAACACCCATCATATCGATTTCCATCATTCAAAACCATTGTTCCATTACCATGAATCTTCCCATTTCTCCATTGACCAATATAATGATGTTCATTCTTCCATTGATATCTCCCCTGCCCATCTTGATACCCTCTACGCCATTCCCCTTCATAATAATCCCCATTAGCATAGTTTTGTGTTCCTTGTCCATGTTTTAAATTCATAACCCAACACCCTCTATAAGTATCACCAGAAGAGCCAGTATAAGTACCTTTACCATCCATGTACCCGCTTTTGAAATCGCCTTCATAAGTAGCGCCAGAAGGCCAGCTGAATTTGCCCTTGCCTAATGTCTTGCCCTTATACCATTCGCCAACGTACATACACCCATCGGTGCAAAGATACTTGCCATGGCCGTGTGGCATATTATCCATCCATTGCCCTGTGTAGAAATCGCCATTGGGTATCGCTCTCTCCGCGTGATGAAGCTCACCAGGGCCTGGTTCGTCGTCTGCTGGAGCGACGGACATTGCTGAAAATATGCTATTAGCCCTTTTCTTTGCGGAGTTTTGGGTTTTACGAACGGTTGCTTTCCAAGCCTTGACGATTCCAGCGTTTTTTTTGTACATTATCACTCTGAATCTCTCCTATCTCTGTGTTTTTTGAGGGACTTTGGTGTCATTTAGGTCATTTCTTCCCTCGATTCATCACTCTCTTCGCCCATTTTCACCGGAAATCGAAGAACCCAGATCGGGAAAAACGTCGGTTAATCGAATCTTTCAAAAGGGAAAGAAAATGGGAAAGAGAGAGCGATTGAAAGGGAATGAAACGGAGAGGGATTACATAAATACGGCGTTGTTTGTGTTCTTCGGAGAGTGATTCTTCTAGTTTTGAGGTTCTATCATGATTTTGTGAAATGGGCAAGTCTCGGATTTTGGAAAATGGAAAGAGAATCAATTTTTTTTTTTTCTAAAAAAAAAAAAAATTAAAAAAGGGATAACCAAAGAATTAAGCTGTTTGATTGATGAGGAGGAAAGCAAAAGGTTCTTGATACCAATGACTGACCTTTTCTCTTTGTCTCGCTAATTTCTTTTTTTAATTTTTAATTTCTTTTTTTAATTTTTAATTTTTTTTTTTAATTTTAGTTTTTTCAATTTTAGAATTATTTGGACCAAGAAATTCAACCCCATTTCCTTTTCCCTCCCGCTTTTGGTTCCTAAAATAACTAAAAAACCAAACATTTGGAGGGACGAGAAACATGCTCATAATTTTGTGTTTTTTTTCTTAATCCTATGTTTGTATTAAATATAATTTGTAATCGTCTATGTCCTTTCGTTCTCCTTCCTAATCGAGATGAGATCTTATAATCCACTTCGTTTCGAAGTCACCGTCTTCACTCACACTCATTCCTCTGTTCAGTTAACGTGGGATCTTATATAATTGGTTGAAATTAACCTAAAACGTGTAATTTTGTATTTTTTTTTTTTTTATAAACATGGTTTATTAAAATTAATCGGAGTGTCAGAAAGATTATTACAGTTCGAGTATGGTCTTCTATGTTTGTATCGGAGAAATTTCGAGATATTGTTCTCTTTGAACTTTCGCTTCCCCTCAAAAAATTTAAAACGGAGGTTTCCATACCCTTATAAAGAATGTTTCGTTATCCTCCCTAATCGAGGTGGGATCTCATAATCCACCTCGTTTTGAGACAACGTCCTCACTAACACTCATTCCTCTCTTCAATTAATGTGGAATTTTACGTGATTAGTTGAAATTAACCTAAAATCAGTATCTTATTTTTCGAGAAAATAAAACTTTAGGTTAAACTCAATTAATTTATATTTAAAAGAATGTTTTATAATTAAGCAACATTATTGACTTGATTAAGGACACAAAATTATTTAAAAATTACCCATGAGAAAATGGTGGGAGAAAATGAAAGAAAATATATGTTAATTAAAATATTAAGAAATTAATTAAATATAAAATAAAATTAAGACGTGGTGGCTACTTTGCTAACGTTAATTAGGTCAAAGCCCAAAAGGCCCACTCCACTCCCTAAAAAAAGGAGAGAAGTGGGGCCCACAATGGAGTTAGCGTTAGTGGCTTTAAAAGTTGACACTTGTCCTATTATGCATCAAAACTTGAAATCATCCATCATGAGTACATGATGATGATGGATCATACATCCAACAATATTTTAGTTTTTTTTTTTTTTTAATTAAAAATATTTGCATATTTTTTCCCATTTGACATGATCCTTGGGCATTGTGGTAATTTAAACCTTCGATATTGTTTATCTTCGAGTATTAAATATTATTTTAATATTAGTAGACTATAATTACGATGTTCGATTCTGGTTCAGATTTGTTCATATGACTCGAGAATTCAACGAATTTAGACTATTCAAAATATTGGGTTGAGTTAGATTTTTTCTTTTCCCGATTTGAGTTAGGTTGTATCTTTGGAAAATCGAAAAAATCGAGTAAGTTCAAAGGTTGACCTGACCAACTCGAAAATAGGGTTACAATTCAACCTTAACTTACTTTTAAGATTAATATGAAAGTTAAGAATATTTAACGTTCGTAACCAATAAAAGGAATGTATCGTGACTTGTAAATGTTTAATATTTGAATTTTATGATATTTTAATTATTAATTTTAAATAAATAAATAAAATTTTAACTAAAATATAATTAATTTCAAAAAATAGAAAAATAAAAATAAAAATAACAATAATAACTTTCTAAGAATATATTTGTGGTTTAAATATATCCCATATATATTATAATATATATCAAACTAAATTTAATTTCTAGAAATTTTTAAAATTTAAAACAAAGGGATTAAAAAAATAAAATCCCAAAATAATTATTAAAAACAATATTTAAAAAATAAAATAAAATACACCCAGACAACCCTAAAGTGATTCCACAATTCAAGATTATTTTTTTAATATATATATATATATATATATTAAAGATAAGCTTTTGACTAAGAAAGTTTAATTATTTTGCATTTGAAAAACATTATAATATATATATTCACATATTTATTTAATTAATATTACAAATTATTGTCATTTTAAAATTAAAAAAATAATAAATAATAAAAATAAAAATAATAATAAAAAAAAAGTAATGCCCCCTCCTTTCACAAAGGTATTTGGACATACCATTATTCAACTTTGGCTATCAAACAAAACATTTCCATTTCCCACAACTTATCTTGTTGGAATCTTCAACATTTTTTTTATACAATCTCTCAATATTCAAAGCTATTTAATTATTTTATATACCAATTTTTTTTTCTCAAGCTATTAATATTGAAATCCGAGCAGTCTACACATTTTATAACAGTTCAAGCTCACCGCTAATAGATACTGTCCGTTTTGGCCCCTTACGTATCGTCATCAACCTCACAATTTTAAAACACGTCCACTATGGAAAAAGTTTAGCCCTACTTCAACCAGAGGCTCGTGACTGACTCTTATACCATTTGTAACAGCTCAAACTCACCGCTAGTCAACATTGTTCAAACACTCACGTAATTGATTCAGTTAAGACCACATTAGCAATAATACATGAATAGTCTTTATAATTTGGCAAACACTATTAATCTATAGGACTCATATCAGTTTCTATGTGTCAAAGACGTGTGCACGTAATTCAATCATAATCAGCTAGAGATAAAAGACCCAGAAACTGAAAATGATTGAATAGCGTAATTGCACACCAACCATACCCAATTAAAACCGAATAGGATCGACCCACATGCACCCATTAAAGAGAAAGACACAAGTTTGAAGGGTCGAATATTAGGCAACGTGTAAGACGAAAGGCCATTTGATAGGGAAGAAAAGAAAAGAAAAGTAGAGATCTTTGTATTAATGGGGAAATTTTGTAGGGCATATGCCCTATGGGCAATGGGTTGGCCATTGGCAATTAGGGAGAGGTGGGGGAGACAAAGGTGTGTGTATTGTCAACATAAATAGAGGCAAAGTGGTGATGATATGGAAAAGACAAAGGGCAGCATTGGACCAACAATGAAGGTTTGATGTGTACAATGTTGTGTTGTCAGACTTAGAATACTCTTTTTGTCTTTTAACTTTTTCTTTCTTTATTTTTTTTATTGCACTCAATTCCATGTCTTTCTAACTTCTTCCCACTCCAAATCTTTCACTTTCCTATAATACCCTTGTTCTCGGAGGGTTTCAGTTATACTCCCGAGCTTTGAAAAGTTCTCGTCTTTATCCTTAAACGTTAAAATTGATGCAACAACTGATGTGAAAATTCAAAAATATACGTTATATTGTTTATAACATAATTCATGTTTGTTACTGTGACAGTTGCTATGTAAATTTTGATTGTGTAAATAGTTTTGTCTATTTTGGTCTGATACCATTTGTATTAGCTCAAACTCACCGCTAATAGATATTGTCCGTTTAGGTCTGTTACATATGGTCATCAGCCTCACAGTTTTAAAATGCGTCTGTTATGGAGAGATTTTAACACCCTTATCAGGAACGCTTCATTCCCCTCTCCAACTAATATGAGATCTCACAATTCATCCTCTTTAGAAGTCCAGTGTCCTCACTGGGCACACCACTCGAGGTTTGGCTCTATACCATTTGTAACAATTCAAGCCCACTGCTAACAGATATTGTCCGCTTTAGTCCGTTACATATCGTTGTTAGCCTCACAATTTTAAAACGCGTCTGTTAGAGAGAGTTTTCCACACCCTTGTAAGCAATTATTGGTTCTCCTCTCCAACTAATGTGGATCTCACAATCCATCCTTTTTGGGGCCCAGTGTCTTTGTTGGTACACCAAACGACATTTGGCTCTATACCATTTGTAACAGCTCAAGCCCACCGCTAACAGATATTGTCTGCTTTGGTCTGTTATGTATCACCGTTAGCCTCACAGTTTTCAATCGCGTCTGTTAGGAAGAGGTTTTCACACCGTTATAAGGAATGTTTCATTCCTCGTTCCAACTAATGTGAGATCTCACGGAAACATACACTAAAGTTTTAAAGATATTTTGTATAATTTAGCCTAATTATTATTTATATACGTCAATGTCTAGTCCATTTACCACCCGAGTAACTAGGTGGGTATCGAGTTAAATTTTATATGTAACCAAGGGGTTGGTGTAAAATTTGTGTTACCCTACCACTACAAGGTAAAAAAGAATGATGGTAGTAAAAAGTTTTTGTAGCCTAGCATTTACTTGTTGGGGTCGTCTTTGTTTGATAGGTAAGCATCTTTCGTAACAAAGTCTGTAAAACGTCGTGTTACCGTATTACCGTTTATTGAGTCATAAAAAATGATTTTTTATTTTATTTTAAGAAGACGACAATAAGTCAAAGATATAAATAAAGGCACTAAGTATGGTTATTTGATGTCTGTTCAAACCCGAACAAGCTCATGTGATCAGATTTCATAGGTTAAGTTACATGTCGTGAAATTTTAATTCAAAGAGTGATTAAATCAAAATATAAATATAAAATTTATATTTTAACGTTTCTAAATATATTAAATAAAATTAACAATAATAATCCATTGACATTGTGAAGCCTAAAATAAATTAAAATTGCTCCAAAAGTAATTATGTTTATTTGTTTATAAATTTTTAAATAAACATTTTGACAAAAATATGGCCGGCGAGGTGAATGTGCGCGCACGCTTTCTCCCGCCGCCACTGTTTGAGAGGCGGTTGCCGCCGTCCACGGCGGTTGTTTTTTTTTTTTTTTTTTTTTTTT